AAAATATACATGTGCATGAATGATGGGAGATGAAAGAACAGATTTAGTACTGCAAAATAATTATAGGAGAGGTAAACCGTAACAATGCAGTGCAATGTCTGTTTACTTTCAAGTAATCCTTCTGAATCCAGGAAGTTCATTCACTTGAAAATATGTTTAGAATTGACTTTTAGAGTTCTTAATTGACCATGCATACATGGCAGCTTTTGATTAAGATCTCCTTTTGTATATTGGTGGGGCAGGGTGGGTTCTAAAATTTTTTACTACCGGTTCTATGGGCATGGCTTATTTTGTGGGCATGGCTTGGTGGGGGTAATGTGACTGGGTGGGCGTGGCCATTTTTTTTTATTTTTTATTTTTAAAAGCATTTTTACTACAACCTTAAAAGGTTGCAGAAAAAAATGCTTTTAGAAGCCTCTGACGATCAGGCAACTCAGCTGGGATCGCCAGAGGCTTTTAAAGGCATTTTTTTTCCTACAACTTCTTCAGTCAAAGAGGTTGCAGAAAAAATGCTTTTAAAAGTAAAAAAAAAAAAGCCTCTGATGAGGTGGGCAGGGTAAGCGAGTGGCGACTGGGCCGGGGACCGGTTCAGGGGCGTGGCCAGCCAAAGTTATTACCAGTTCTCTGAACTACTACAAATTTTTACTACCAGTTCTTGCGAACCGGTGCGAATCGGGAGCAACCCACTACTGTGGTAGGGGCACATTAGAATTTTTAAAATGCTTAGTGGGATCTCACACAAAATTATTGATATGCAATATTTTCTCTAATAAAATGGCTGTTGTTATGAAAATAATGAGTTGCAAATCAATTTAATAAAGAATAGGCTGGAACTGATGCTCTTTAGTACCTTTTTTTCTCTTGATGGATTTTTTTTAAAACGATCACTGATTACTTTTTTTTCTATGAAGCATTCTTTTTCTAATAAAGCATTAGATTGTAGTGTAATATTGAGATTATTCAGCAGGAATTGGTATAAAAAGATCTTTTAACCCTTAAATACCAAAAACTACTCATCCCAGAGAGAATTTAAACCTCAAGAAGTAATGTGAAAAAGAAAGTACATCCTCTTAGAACTCGAAGTTCTAATGGTTTTACATATCAGGACATAGTAAAAATCATTGGTTTTTAACAGTTCTTAAAAGTAGGTAAATAGAACCTTAGATAAACAACAACACCTGATATTATGTGATACACCATGTCATCATTTATTTTACAAAAAGAAAGCCAAATGGAGAACCATGTATGAACAACTAAGTACACCTTATTGCTTCCATGGGTATGAAGAGGCTAAATAGCAACCAGGTGCTGCTAACCAAGTGCCCTTAATCAATTGATCATTAGCAATTATGACTACCTCTATAAAAGCTCAAGTTTTAGGAATTTCCTTGTCTCCAGCATTAAGTGTGTGTTAACACAATGCCAAATAGGAAAGCTATCAGCAATGACTTTAGAGAAGCAATTGTTCCTGTCCATTGGTCTGGGAAGGGTTATAAGGACATTTCCAAACAGTCCATCATTCTATAGCAAGGAACACCATTTCACAAGTGGAAAACATTCAAGATAGTTGCCAATCTTCCCAGGAGTGGAGGTTCCAGCAAATTCACCCCAAGGTCAGACTGCAATGCCCAGAGCAATTGTTACAGGATTAATGGCATTGTATTGGAACAGGGGTGTTAAAATTGCAGCAACACATCATCATATGACATATCATGACTTTTTACCCCTTTGCTAATACGGGGGTGGGTGTGGCCAGCATGTGATGCATCTGGCCCACAGGCCGCAAGTTTGACACCCCTATATTAGAATCTTGCAACATTCCTGCAAAGTAAATTTGTTATTATTACCTGAGTTGCCCCCAGCAATATCAGCTCAATTTCTGCCTATTACATAAAAGGCCAAGAGAGGTATGAATGGCACAGAAGTCTTAAAGATGATAGTAGGCATTATTAACAGAGTTGGATTGGACCTTGGAAGTCTTCTAGTCCAACTCCCTGCTAAGGTAGGAGTCCCTATACCATTTCAGACAAATGGTTGTCTAATCTCTTCTTAAAAACTCCCAGTGTAGGAGCACCCACAACTTCTGGAGGCAAGTTATTCCACCAATTAATTGTTCTGTCAGAAAATTTTTCCTTAATTCTAGGTTGGTTTTCTCCTTAATTTCTATCCATTGCTTGTCCTGCCTTCAGGTGCTTTGGAGAATAGATTGTCCCTCTCTTGTTTGTGGCAGCTGCTTAGATATTGGAACACTGTTATCATGTCACCCCAGTCCTTCTTTTCATTAAACTAGACTCCAAATCTATGACCATGTTATTTAGTTCACTGCACTGCTATTACACAATATTATGAAACATTAATTTAAAAAATTGCTATTTACCAAATTGTCATATTTTGCATACATTACAGCTTGTAATGCATTGTTACTTTGTCTCTCCTCTAATGACATCTACTTTACTCCACCATTTTATCCTCCAAACATTCTTAGATATGATGGGGATCTGATTGTATCTGAGTCACTTTGTCATGCTCATGGCTAAGCAGAGATTGAATGTGTACCAACCCAGAGAAAATCCCATTTCTTATGCTATAAATAGGGTGGTCACAATGAATAAGGTTTAGGAAAGGCTTTTTCAGGATCAAAGCTTCCATAAATGTTATTAAAAATCAATCACTTTTGAATATGATATAAAAAGTATAACAAATTATATCACCAAATAATTATCATGATGTAAATTGCCATCATGATAAATAAGCAAACTACTGCTAAAGTATAATTGTCTCAGAAAATACCTGCAGTTGCTTGTTTTTGTTTTTAATTAGAAGCTCATTAGAGGGACTCTGTCCACAAAGGCACAAAAAAAATTTATCACTCTTTATATGAGTAATTCATGAAAAGGCATCCATAATGCCAATTTAACATTTTAGTACTATGTTAAAACGCAAATGCATTGCATTACAATATCCCTCAGGACAGTTACCAGGGTGGCAAAAGTTCTTTACATGAATTACCAGAATACCTTATTTAGGATAAATATTTAATTGCAAACCTGATTCTGAGAACACTGCCAGACAAGTGAGATAATTGTAAGCTGTATATAACCAGTAATATTCCATTTATGTCTAAGCAACTCCCAATGTAGGTTAAATAACAAATATTAAATAGTTATATACAGGTAGTCTTCAAGATATGACAGGTCACTTAATGGCTGTTCAAAATTAGAACAGCTCCTTCAAAAGCTACATACAAACCTGTTTCACAGTTAAGGCGGCTTTAGCACTCTCATGGTCATTCTCCCTCGTGACTGACCACAGGGATGGTGCGGTACCTCACTCCGCTACCCCCATCCAGCTCTGAGGAGACTGCTTGAGCCTGATCTCCATGCCTCCTAGAAGTAGTTGCCATTTTCAGCACTCGGACAATTTCTTGCAGAAATGGTGGCTACCTTTGGAGTTTTCTGCCCTGATCAGCTGGTCATTGGAAGACTGAAAATATCTGGCTCTTGCTAGTCCTTAAGAATCCAGCCACTTGCATGCAAAGGCAACAACTTCAGAAGGCACTTCTCAAAACATTTCCCCAACATGTGCAGTGAATGGTCAGAGCAGAAGCTGGCTCCTTGGAAAGCTTTTTGCTGTTTGTCTGACTGCCTTTAGACAAGTCCTAGGTGGGTCCTAAAGGCAGTCAGACTAACAGTAAGAAGCTTTCCAAGGAGCCAGCTTCTGCCTTGACCATTGCTGCGAATGTTGTGCTCTAGCCAGATGAACTTTTTGAGCAGAATTTTTCTTTAGTTCCTTAACACAAACTGCAGAAAAGTTTTTTTGCTTGCTTTTTTCCCTCTATTCTTCAGCTTGGCAGTCACTCATCAAGGTAACTTCCAGATATTGTCAGGCATAGAGTAAATTTAGAAAATGAGGTAAATTAAAATATCAAGATTGGAGACTAGAGGTAGAAAGTTTAGTTTCAGCACCTAATTGGGGGAGGGGAGAGAAAGATCAACAAGTCTGTTCCCCACTCCCGAAAACTTTTTTCTGTTTTCTTTATTGAAGAAATGTGGATTTCTGTAGGAGGCAGGGGGTTAAGTAAGCGGAAGATTTTGATACATTCTTCCTGAAACTGCTGCCTTGGCATGCAAGCAGCTGATTTCCCCAAAGCTTAGGAAAGGTTTGCAGTCTTCCAATGGCCCAGCTGATCAGGGCCAGAGGCTCAGCCCTCAAGCCCATTTTCATCAGCCAGCACAGAGGTCTGTTTGGAAGCTTCTCTGGCATTGGAACACGGCACTAAGACCTAATCCAGCTGGGATCTTCTCCCATGCTAGGCTGGTTTTTTTTGGCTTTTTGCTGCTTATCTGCCTCCTTTATGGACCCAGCTGGGTAGTGGGCCTTCCAGGGACTCCCCTATCCATGAAGTGCCCTATATGCTTGCTTTCAACATCTTGTGTGTTCATTTAATGGTTGTATCATAATGACTCCCACCCCTGAAGGGGGTGGGAGTCATTATGCAAAGCTGTCTGACTTAATGGTTGTCACCACTTGCGACTGTAATAGAAAGGCTCCATTACAGTCATAGGTTGAAGACTGCCTGTAATCACTTGAAGTATATAATTAATGTGTCCGAGTTTGACTAGACATCACAGAATGAGGCATATTGTTTCTCTAGCAGCATTATGGCCACATTTACACAAGGTACTGAGTGGGACTGCATTCTGTTACATCAACATATTTCATTAAAAAAGGGATAAAGATTTTATTAATGCATCTTTTATCCATCCAGCTATTCTGAAAAATATACACATATATACAGAAGGTGACTATTAACTAATGACAAGAGGGACATCACTAGTACATTCTTTACATCCCAGCACACTCAGATGTCCCACTCCAACATTTCCTTTTTTAAAGCTAGAAACAATCACACTACTGCCAGTCCAAGCCTTTCCTATACACTGGAATTCAAATGCAATTATACTTTATATGAGATAAAAGAGAATATACAATATACAGACCATATACTGTAGCTCCATAAAGCATTCTCAGCCATCTTTTGAGCCTGGAAATTCAAACCCATTCAGAAAAATAAAGTCTCTTTCAAAAATAGCAAAAGTCAGGAGCCAGATCATCCAAACACTGATAATAACAGCATTCACTTCTTGGGGCTCAAGGTAGAAGCATGGGAATGGAGTTCAAACTGCCCAAGAAAAAGGGAGGAAAGTAAGTTTCAACTTCACATAGCTGACAGACAAAATAATACTAGAGGCAAAAAAGTGGAGGCTCCCATGGCTCCTTCCCATATTGAGAGATCTACCCAGATGTTATTTAACCACTCAGGCTTTACAGCAAATTGGACACATCATAAGGCATTAGTCTTCCTACACCCCCAGTAAAGGAAAAGAGGACATTTTCTTGTTCATCTATATTTCAACATTTTTATAACCTAAATTACACATACCGCAAACCCCTGGCAGTGTTTATTTAAGAACAGTTGTACACAATAAAGTTGTATAAGACAAAAATCCTCCCTGGGAAATAATTCTGAGCACGGTTAGAAATGATTTGGGATATAGACAGAGTCTGCAGTACTAGGAAGGAATTGTTATGGTTTCTTAAAAATTGCGCAAACCATTAAATTGGAGCATAGGGATTTCTGTTGTTGTAACAACCTCACTTGAATGCAATCCAATCTGCCACATCAAGTTCAGGGCAAGGATTTTCTAATTCATTTAGGATATAGATCCAAATAAACTAAATTCTGTGCAAATCAGATTAATGCATACATGTACACACATACACAAATGCAAGTGAAATAAAAATATTTAATATTTAATGTAATATTTATAACATGCATTTTAAAAATTAAAAATGGTATACCAACTTTCAATATTTCTTATAAATATAATTTTAGTGGAATTACAATGTAATTATTGAAAATTGTAGAAGAAAATAGTATACATTCCTAATAACATTTTAATGTCATGAACCAAGCAAATTAAAGATTACTGAATTATTTTTAAATACTTCTGCTTATTAGTCTTTCAAGAAACTTAATAAAAATATTTCTGCTGTCTTTCTTAAAAAAATATGATGCAAAGTTATTTAACTTGATTTTTATTCTGCAAAAAGGCACTTTACTTAAAACTTACATTTTTTAATGCCGACAGCATTTTTAAAAAGTTAAAAACTCAACTTTTTATATGTATGTATGTATGTATGTATGTATGTATGTTTTCATAGATTTTCACGGGTAGAGGTATGCAAGTTTTGATGTATTCAGGTCTTTTCCCGTGTAAGATTGAGATTACTTTCAATCTTACACGGGAAAAGACCCGAATACATCAAAACTTGCATTTTATATATATATATATATACACACACACACACACATTGACAGCATTCCCACTTAATCTGCATAAGCCTAGTCATCTTGGAAAAAAACCCAGTGACCTTTCCAATTTGTTTACAATCCCCACCCCAAAATTGTAACTCACTGTTTGAAAATGTCACCCTGTGTGAGCCAAATTATATACTATGATACAAAAAGTGCTGGATTAAAAAGTGAAACAAAATTAGCCAACCTCAGTTAACTTGGTATATTGAATGTACTACATAATCATAAGAACATCTCTATTCACATTAAACTGCCACTTGCCTTATAGCTGCATACCTGAAGGAAAGCAAATCAAATCTTTTCCATTTGCCAGAGGAAGAAGCCACAGGGAAGTGATACTCTCTCTTATCAGGTAAAAAAAATCCAATCAAATTGGAAATAAAGGCATACTGAAGGCTTGTTCTTTTGTTCAAATGTTATCAAGATAAAATTCTATTCTCTTTTCCCCTCAACTCCCATTCTTTTTAATTTGTAACATCTTAGGGATGGGTCTAATCTTTTTTATTTAATCAATGTGAAGCATTTTGTCTTAGCCTGAAAAGCAACATATTTATGCATGAAGAAATGGCAAACCAAAGACAGCTCTGTGAAAAGCAAAGCTGACAAATGTGGCAAAATGAAGAGCCAGCAAGTAGACCTGCTCTTTGCAACTGGCCGCAAGTGCTCCAGACATCTGCTCCTCCCAATGAGATTGCAAAACAGTGGTCTCCAGCAGGTTTACAGCTCTGGGAGACAGGGAATAACCACCTTGCTCAATCTAAGTTGGCACCTTTGAAAAGAAATATGCAGAAAATAAAATGTAATTTATTTAGACCATCATATTGACTGAAAAAGAATCCTTTGACTATTTAATGCATCAGGAAATATTCTGAAAACCTAATGGAATGTTTTACTAGATCTATACACATTTAGAATTGGTTTGGTAGTTTGTGATTAATTTGATACCTTGTTAGCGTGCAGGCTCACAAGAGAACACTGAGTTATTGTGAAAAATATGTAAGGAATCTAGGAGATCTAGAAACAAGCTTAAAGTTCTATACTATACAAATAAAATTGCTTATATTTTTTTAAAAAAAGCTGTACCCATTTAAATAATTTTAAAAAGCATCCCTTGAGAGTGTCTGATGTAAAAAAAAAATTGCTAGACTCAGAATGCCTATGGATTTCCCCAGAAAATTGTCACGTTTTGCCAGTGATAGCAAATACTCTCTTAAACAAGAAACACTGTACTACATGGCAATCTACATTCTGTTCCACCATTTCTAGTTACAAGGTTCTATGGATTTGATAGGTAAGGTCTGCCATCTTTTTTCCCCAAAGGCAGTCATCAAACTTAAAGTTATTTTGATTGTTTTAAAATCTGGATATGCTTGCTCTTCAAAACCTGAAAACAGAGTAACTCAAGAACAAGCACACAGACAAGGAGCCAACTCCAGAATCTATTTATCAGCCCCAGTTTACCAGAACCGCACTTTGTTTCTTATTAATAAGGGTGGGAAAAGCACAGTTTCTGCTCACAGACCCTACTATGCCATAATGTGATTCGTTTGGGCAAGGCTAGCAAGTGTTGCAAAACCGGACATCAAACTGCTCCTCAATGATCCCTCCCGCTTCCACAGAAGGCTCAACATCAACATTCCTGAGAATGAGGCCCTGGAATGACTCGTTTGGTGAGCTCAGTGCGACCGTCGAAGCCAAACTGCTACCACGCAAAGGTCTTTGAAGATCGTTCCCATTGGAGCCACTCCGAACTGAGATCTGGAGATGACGGACGGCATAGCGTCAAACGCATCTGGAAGGTACCAACTAGGAAAAAGCTAAGGCACGCCAAGTCAGCGCATCTCAAACCGCGACGAAGCGGAACTTTACTGACATCAGTTCTCGCCGACACCCGTCAAGAGCGCTTAGAGACCTTCGTAAAAACCACACAAACGCCCAATACCGACTCTCTCGCCTGCCGTCTCCGCTGTCGCCCACTCCCCTTCGAGCCTTGTCAGGCCACCAGTACCAACAGCCATCCACCCGCCTCGGACCGCAGCCTTCGTCAGGACTCCCCTTCACCGGTGGCAAGCAGGCAGGCAAGAGGCGCCTCCTTCCCCGCGCCCCGAGCCTTCCTCCCACGCACGGAAGAAGGGAACGGCTTTCCTGCAGCCAATTTCTCCCCCTTCCTCTTTCAGAGTCAAACCGACAAAACAACCTTAGACCCAGCGAAACCAGTAAAGCGCCCGGACGTGGCGGGGAACCGGGAAAGCAGCAGCAAAAACGGCCACCGAGAGAGATTCCGCCCTCACCTTCTTCATGAGGCCGACTGGTTTACAGGTGGCTAAGAGACAACCGACCGGGGTCCACACCTGCCTGGATTAGCCGGAATCCCAGTCCCAAGAGTAGCAGCCAGGCCTCGCTCTGGGCCGGACCTTGCCCAAGACAACTTCCGAGGCCAAGCAGGCAACTCCTTCCGGGCCAAAAAAGGGGAAGAGTGGGAGTGGTCGGCCGGTCTCCCTAATCGCGGGTTCTTCGTCTTGCCGGCGGGAGTGGGGAAGGCGCGCCTTTGGCTGTTGCTACGGAGGGCTTGGTAATCAGGGCGTGAAAAGCGGAGCGGAGGAGGGAAATTAACCCCTTTGGTGGACCGGGGTTTTGTAATCAAGGAATGATAGCCTGGCGAGAGTGTTGGCTTCTTCATTTGCTACCAAAAGGATTTGTTTCCAAATGAACAGAGGCATTTTGTCTGTAATCCCATCAAGACTTTTTCCTGGGGGTAAATAACATCCCGCTAAGCAGAAGTTTTAAAAGTGTTCAATTAAACACATTATCTTAGTTGTTTCAATTACCACATGCTATTCTCTTGCTGTCAGTCCTAAAGCAAATGACTAGTAAAGAACCTTGTTTAGCACTGTGTTTAGCTTGTTCATGAGGTTTACCAAATTATTGATGGATAATGTCAAAGACATGTTTTTTATTATATAATCTTCATTTTTATACATAAAGTGTTCCCACAGATTTAATATTATCAGGAATTGTTAAATACTGCCGGGTTAAACAATACTATATGTCATTTATTTAAGAGATTTCTATGTCTGCAATTGCAGAGCATATGAGTAGCTCACAACAGCAGTCAAACTACAAAACCATAAAATTAAAATAGCTAGTTTAGTGTGGTGAAAGACTTGAGTTCTAAGCCTCTTTTAGTCAGGAAAGACAAGATAACTTTGGGCTGGTAACTTGCTCAGCCCAATCCATCTCACAAGGTGGTTGTTTTGGAGAAAATAGGAGGCAGGGCATGAAGTATATTCACCTCCTATAAAAAGGAAGAATAAAAATATGGTAATAACACTGACACTAAAGAACAAAAAAAAAAACCAACCTAAAAACCCAGTGCCTCAATCAGCCTTAGAATACCTCAACAACTATCCAATTTCTCACCACTCTACCTTGGTGCCTGGGTAAAGAGCCAACTAAGTCTTGATGGCCTTCTAGAAGACTAAAATGGTGGGGGGCTGCCAGATCACTGGGGAATGGGTGTTCTACACTAGGTAGAGGCAACCACAGGAAAGGCTGTTCTGTGCAATAGCAAATACGTTGCTGTTTTAGAATAAATTTTCTGGTTTTGTTTGTTTTTATTCACTTGATTTAAAAAATTGTGAACATGGCCAGAGTCAAGTTATATTGTTGGAATCTTTTAACAAAATATAGTTAGCTTCAGAAGATAAATCCAGTAATAATCACTTCTCCATGAGTAGATTTTGCAGTGCAGCCTTAAAATTTCTCTCATAACTATATCTATGGTTGGGACCTGCATTAGCTTCTCTTTCTTCCAAGCCATCTCAATTTTGACCTGTCATGACCTTATTATTCCAGTCTTTGCACTCTTACAGGAAAGAACTCTTATTGTGTGGTGTTTTTGTCATGGAAATTAGATTGCATAGACTACATATTTTCACCTGTGACCCATATTGTTTTAGCAAGTAGCCAACTCTATGTAGTTCTAAAGAGCAGTCAAGCAGCATAACTTGTTTTTACTCAGTGGAATATATCTGTAAAATAAACTGCTCCTTATTCTTTCCCATGCTGTTCTTTGGTTAGCTGGAGTAAGACTCATTCCTCTGCTAGATAATTTCCCACAATTCCTGTGAGGTCATCTGAAAGTGGCACTTTTGCACATGAAAAACAGGGACCGTAATAAAAGAGTATAATAGCACTCTGCCTCTATTTGAGACCTCACACATTTCTGAGCTTTAACTACCTTCCTCTGGCAGAATGGACAATGGTAAAAATAAAGAGTTGTAGTACCTTAAAGACTAGCCAATTTGATTATCACATACGTTTTCACGGATCACAGCCACTTTAGCAGATGAATGCAGGAAATTCCTGTGAGAGCAACAATAGCCATAGGGAAAGAAAGTGGGTGGTGAGAATAGAATTACATTAATATCCAAGACAAAGAGAAACAGAATAAAGTAATGGGTATATTCTCATGTGATCCATGTAGCAAAATCAATCAAAAATATTGTGGTTTAAAGACTAGCTACTTGCGTGAGATTTATAAACCCCAAATGTTTTAAGGCATCTCTGGAAATTGAGAAAAATCTATAAGAGCTGAAAATTTTCCACATCTGCTACAAAAATACAGCTGCCACTCTGGGGTAAGCTAATTATGTATTATTTCAAAAATCATGGTCAAAAGGCACCTGGTTAAGTATAGTATGCAAACATTTTTATGAATCAAATTATTGTCCCTAAACAACAAATTGTTGCAAAAATGGACATCAGAGAATGTTGATTGAATTTATTTGAGACAAACATTTCCATGTTATTCTCAGAATCACTATAACTCAAGCTACAAGTTCCCATGCTAAATGTTGGTAATTCAGTTCTGCCAAATTACTTTAGTATGGAATCAGACTGATTCCATCTGTTGCATAGGAGTTTGCACAGAATAATGGCAACTTTTACATTTATTTCAATACTATACAGTTACTTCCTGGGGCCTAGCTTAGTGTTTCTGATTAAGAAAGTAGAAATACAACAATAGCAACAGAAACATAATCAATGGCTAGGTTATATTTCTGTTGTTTCTTCAAAGGACATCATGTCAACAGTCGAATATGTTATTTTGTTACTATGAATACAGCATTTTTCTTTTTGATTATGGGCCATCAAATTGATGTTGTCTCTTAGCAACTATACAAGATCTATCCCGAAAATTGGTCCTCCAGGTTTCCCTGTGATCCACCATTGCTACTGTAATCAAAGTGCCAGTCGTTACAAAACAATTGCTACAGTCAATCCTACCTAGCTCAGGTTCAATTGAATATTTTTATTTATTTATTTATATCCCCTTATTATTTTTACAAATAACTCAAGGTAGTGAACATATCCAACACAGTTCCCTCCTCTTCTATTGCATGTTGCATTGAGTGTACATTATAAACATCTGAAATATTGAAATATTTCAAAAGTATTTCTCACTCTGCCAATAACATAACTCTGATATGTTTACACTTCGTTGTTTGAACTATTTTGCTTACCATTGATTAGTGACCAAAACAGTGCATTAAATGGTTCTATAGGGTTTTCATGTAATGGAAGATATAACAATAAAAACCCTTTTATTATAAACCTTCCCCAGAGTTTAGTTATATCCAACTGCCACCTACTGCACAACACATAAATATCACATTTCATTTGAATTTAATCTATGGCTTTAATAAAAGTAAGCTCCTTGGAACAAGTGTATTTTTAAATAGTTCTTTTTAGGTAGATCTGACCTTAATGTCTCAGCAGGTGGCAATATCTGGGCAAAATTAGCTGGGTTTGGAAAGGTAGGTTCGGCCGGTTAGTACTCTGATGAGATATTAACAGAAAGGGTTATGGCTAGATTG